GCTTAATAATTAAGAGCACTGGCTGCCCTTTCAGTGGACTCGGATTAGTTGGAGTACCTTTGTGGTGGCTCACAATCATCTGCAACTCCAGTTCCAGGAGATCAAACACCTTCTTCTGGCTTCTTCCAGCACTAGGCACACGCGTGGCACACAGGCAAAAGGCCCCGGCCATGAGTGTCTCTAGTCACACCTGTTCTTGCGGACCTCACTGAACCATTGTCGGTGAGTCTAGCACCCGGCATCTGTCAGAACTCACCTTGAACTCACACACATAAAAAAAAGAACCCAAAACTTTTTAAAGAAAGAGTTCTTTCGCCGGGCATTGGTGGCTCACGCCTTTAATCCCAGCACTCGGGAGGCAGAGGCAGGCGGATCTCTGTGAGTTCGAGACCAGCCTGGACTACCAAGCGAGTTCCAGGACAGCCTCCAAATCCACAGAGAAACCCTGTCTCGAAAAACCAAAAAAAAAAAAAAAAAAAAAAAAAAAGAAAGAAAGAGTTCTTTCCACCTCTACAGGACCAGGTCTTGTTCTTGAAGCCAAACTTCAATTTTTGAGAGGGATTAATGACAGCGAGTCCCTAACATTCCAGGAAAATGCTTACTATTCAGCAAAGTAGAGTTTGTCTCACATCTCCAAAGACTCACACCATGTTTGCATGCACTGCTGTTTCCTCTTGCAATCTGCATTCTCTCAACAGTCATCCATGTTCCTAGACTATCAGAAACCCCTAAACCTCCCAGCTTACTCTCAGGTTCCTGTGCAGCAGGCCACATGGGAAGTCCTTCTAGAAGCTCTCCCCACCCCCTCAGTTTCCTTTCCAGATCCCGCCTCCTATGCCCATTCCTGCTCTTCCTACCACCTCTTTTGAGGTCTGCCATCTCCCTGCCCTGGTCCTCACCCTACTTTACTTGTGGGAACTCATTCACTTTCATGACTACATGTCCTCTCCATACCCAAGGACTCAGCATCCACTATTTTTGCCTGTGTTGTTTTGAGACAGGGCCTCACTATGTAGCCCAGGCTGTCCTGGAACTCACTCTGTACCCACAACTGATGTGGCATCTCTCTAGCCCCTTCCGTGTGTCTGGGTGTGATTTTTGCTTGAGCCAGGGTTTCTCTATATAGCCCTGGCTGAGTTGGAAGTCTCTGTGTAGACCAGGCTAGCCTCAAACTTCACAGATGCACCTGCCTGTCTGCCTTTTGAGTGCTGGGACCTAAAGATGTGCACCGCCACACCTGGCTCTTCTGTCAGCTACAGCACAGATGCCATCGCTTCACCTGCCGCTCTCCAGAGCTGAAGCAGATGGCTGGAGTGTCAGTCACGTGAGCCTGTCCGCGGGGATAAACTTGGGCCTTTTCAAGCCTCCATTTCCCTCCGCTGTAGCACGAGCTGACACCTCTCAGGGCTGTGGATGAGACTTAAAAGAGGTGACAGATGGGTCTGTCACAGAGCAGAATTAAATATCAGTAATTCAAAAAATTTTATTGTCCCCATCATTGCTCAGTGTTTCTCATTCAAAAAGTCCTAGGGAAAATGCTGTCTTTTGATGTGCTCACTAATAAGACGTTTTCCTGTGACAGAGGGGTGACACAAGCTTGAGGCAGCCTCTTCCAACCATTTGGCTTGTGGGGAAGCTCCTGGCTAAGTTTGATACCCAATTGCAGATCTCTATGCTGACCTGAGGGAGGCAGTGTGGTCTAGGGAGAGGGTTTGGTCCTGCAGCCCCATGGTCTGAGGTGGAGTCATTCTTGGGTAACGCTCTAGGCTGGCCGCCTGAGCCTTAAGCCCCTTAATTGTGATCAGTAAAAATACTGAGGATAATGTCTGTCATACAGGCCTGGCGAGAGTGCACTTACTTTCATAAATAAAAAACAAAACAAACAAACCCCGCGAGAGTTCGCAATGAGCAGTCTAGGCGTGGAATGCCATGGTCTTGTGATGCCACTGAAACTGCCTGCTTCAGCTTTTATCCTTCTGCCTCAACCTCCCAAATATTCCAAACGTAGGGTTTCTTTTTAAAACAAGATTTCATGTTTGTAGTGCATTTTGGTCGTTTTCACCCATTACCTCTCACCCCCTCCTACTTGCACCAAACCTTCTTTCTAACAAGTATCCCCTGCCCCCTATTTTCATGACTTTCATTTCTTTGAGATCCAGTGAGTTGAGTTAGGTTTGCCTGCATGAGCCTGGGTGTGGAGTTATTTACTGGGGCATGGGCAACTTACCAGCAGCTACACTGCTAAAGAAATGCTTCTTCCCCCCAAACCATATCTTCTCAGGAGGGGTTGGGCCTGAAAAGCTCCTCCTCCATCCATGATTGTTCAGGTAGCCACAGGTGCCGAGTCCAGAGTGCAGTGGCCATTCCAGAAAACAGCATTTCACAGCACTCCATCCCCCAGCTCTGCTCCCCTTCCACGATATTCCCTGGCACCCCATTAAAGTTTTAAATTTTGTATGTGCATGGATGTTTTGCCTACATGGACGTGTGTATATTATATACATGCCTGATATCTGCAAAGACCAGGGAGGCATTGGATCCCCTAGAACTGGATTACTGATGGTTGTGAGCTGCCACATGAGTGCTGGGAATCAAACCCAGGTCCTCTGGAAGAGCATCCAGTGCTCTTAATCACTGAGCCATCTTTCTAGCCCTTAGACAGAATACTCAACAGTTAGTTACTCTGCATCAACCACTGCTCACTGTAAGTAGTGGTTTCTCTGACTAAGGCTGAAAGCAGTGCTAATCTACGGTGCTAAACTAAGTCCTCAGAGGACGGTCTGACAGTGTGTCCACTTAGCAAAACACAAGGTCTCACCCCAAGGCCTATGACCTCCCCAGCCATGGGCTTTTGACCAGCAGGTTTATAGAACCAGACATGAATTCACTCTTAGGGAGTGGGTCTCAAATCCAGTCAGAAAGCAGTCGATTACCCTTGTAACATGGCAGGTCACAGGATTGACATCTGGGTAAGAGCACTGACTTCTCTCCCCCACAGGTCTGCTGGCATCTTCCATACTATGAATGCTAGCCAGCAGGGAGGACACTTCCAGCTCAGCTCTAATTTTATTTCTGTGTCCTGCAACTGAACTATGTGGTGTCTTTAGCAAAGGGTTTTCCATCTAGTTCTAGTTGACAACCAAGAGCAATAGCAATAGTAGCTTGCATTGTCTGAGGGCCTCTGGGTGGGATTTGTATTTTATTTGTTTTAGGTTTTTGTTGTTGTTGTTGTTGTTTTTCGAGACAGGGTTTCCCTGTGGCTTTGGAGGCTGTCCCAGAACTAGCTCCTATAGACCAGGCTGGTCTCAACTCACAGAGATCCGCCTGCCTCTGCCTCCCAAGTGCTGGGATTAAAGGCGTTCACCACCACAGCCTGGCTTGTTTTAGTTTTTATGTCAGTATGAGGGTGTCAGATCCCCTGGAGTTACAGACAGTTGTGAACTGCCATGTGGCTGCTGGGACTTGAACCCAGGTTCTCTGGAAGAGAAGACAGTGATGTTAACCACCAGGCTATCTCTCCAGCCCATGAAAGTCATTAATTTTTATTATTTTATTTTATTCTGGATAGGATTCCTAGTATAATTATTTTCCCTCTTTCCTTCCATATTTGCATTTTATATTGTGAATCTTGCTTTGCGTCAGTTTGCTTTTATTTACTTATGTTTACATTTTGTGTATGTGTGTGTGCTTGCCTATGCCATGGGGAGTGGAAGTCAGAAGGCAACTTGCAGGACTCAGCTCTCCCCTACCATTGGGATCTCAGCAATCTGAGATAGCTCACTGGGGTCAGCAGCAAGCCACTACCCACTGCACTGTCTCCACGGCCTTTTTACTGATAGGGTCTCATTCTGTAGCTCAGGCTGGCCTAACGCAATCATGCCTCAGCCATACTCAGCTTTTTTTTAACTGTCTTAATTTATTCTACTCCCTTCTGGAAGTACATCAAAAGGTGACACAAATAATTCCCAAAAAGCAGTCTTCTGGGAGCCAGAAATAATGCTACTTGTTTTGTCTTTTTTCCCCTTTTAATTAGAAAAGTGTTTATATGGAGCTTTTGGGTTTGGAGCTGCTTGATATTTTAGCATCACTGCTAAAATAAGATGAACTGGGGATGACTCCACAAAGGCTTTTTGTTGGGCTTGCACAGACATCAATGACTTAACTGCTCATTTGCTCTTACTTATTTACTAGGTGAACACAGATGTCACAAGACAGTGCACAGAAAGTGACCTCCCAACATGGCAGCCACCTCGTGTGGCTGCAGTCAACATTGCAGTATGGGAGGAGGGTGTTTTTAGAGGGGTGCTGAGTGAGCCCAGGACACCCTGGAAAACCTGCAGGTCTGTGGGAAAGAGAAGGGGACATGGCACTCAGGAAGGCTGAGATCTCTTTAGTCAGTACCAGGAGGAATGAGGTCCAGGTAGAAGAAACACAGTGTGGTCCTTCAGGTAACTCCAAGTGACTCAGTGTGCTCAGGGAAGAATGGATGAGAGAGCTGTTAAATCAGGTTGGGATGGAGGTGGGAGTAAACCAAAGAGCCTGTGGCATACAGAGTGCCCGAGTTTTATCTTGAAGATGAGAGGGTGTGGTGTGGCAACTGGCGCACATGGTCATGAATACAGACCCCGGGAGCCACAATACAACCCCACGTTGAGCCACTGCACCCTAACACTGAATGCTATGGACACAATCTCCATAAGCAAGTGCCATTTTCTGCTACTGGATTCAGCTAGGGTTTGCTGTACACAGAATCTAAGAGAGGTGGGCAAGGGTACCAGGATGGGCCCTAAGGACCTTTAAAATGGCTAGCAAACTCAAGGTTCCCCGACACTAAAGCAAGCCCAGTAGCTAAACTGGTGCTGTGCGCTGGCATCTGTGGCTGGGGAGCCGCCCTGGGCAGCAAATGGGTTAACACTCAAATGACTTTTATATATGAATTAATGTGCAGGGTTAGGAGCCAAAATCTGTTCCATTAATTTTTCCATCCATTCCAGGAGCAGTTAGGTACACACAGTAAAGTTTATTTTGGTGCATGGCATACTTCACTCCATTAAAAATAAATTAATCAGCAAATTCCTGCCTGGCTCGCTTCTGGTTTATGTAAATAGTGCCCAGATGTAACGAGTTACAAGGTGTTATTATCTTGCACTCACAGAGGACGCTTCACTCCAGAGCCCCGCTTGCAACCAAAGCATCGCAAATAAAGCAAGAGAAGGCAGCTTGATTTGTAATGTTTTCACAGAAGTGGCGTCTACCTCACGGTATAGAGTTTCTTTATATGACTCATTTTATAGCAAGTTCAATGAAGGAAGCTGGATGGGGGAGGGAGACGGTTCCCACCCCCTTTCCTCAATTCCAAGAGATGACCCAAAACTCTCAGAGAGGAGGAACAGGCCCCTGAAGAGCTCAGACCAGGTGTCCCTTACAGCTTGCTTCAGAAGCTGGGGATGGGGTAGAAACTGGGCTGGGGCTGGGGCTGGTACCCACAGGCCAGGAAGACTATCTCACGTAAAGGATGTCACTGTGGGCGTCAAAGGGACTCTGTTTCCAGGCCTCTTTCTATACCACTTAGGATGTGACCAGGGAATGCGCCTGGTGGATGGCGCTTTGCCCAGTGACTCCTCTGTGAACTAGAGACAGGAGCAGCAGAGGGAACCTCTGACCTTTCCCTGCCTCTAACTGAGTAGGAGTTGACTCTTGAGTCTGGATCATCCACCGGCTCACCTGTGTTTCTGTTCTTTTTTAGTTTGTTTTTAGAGACAGGAAGGTTTCTCTGTGTAGCCCTGCCTGTCTTGGATTTCACCCTGTAATTCAGTCTGGCCTCGAACACGCCTTCCTTTTTCCTAAGAGCTGGGATTAAAGAAGTGTGCCGCCAGGACTGCCTTTACCTTGGTTTCTAAAAGACCCTGGAACAAAGAAGAACCATGGCAGAAATACATCTCTTTTTTTAATGGCTACTTCAACCCCATGGCTCAAAGCTGGGGGACAGCATATGGTTACTCATTTTGACTTAACATTAGAAACTGCTCCTAGGCACAGGGGTCTGGGTGAGGGGCCCCTTTCTAACCTACCCATCCCTCCTTATGTGTGCTGCTGGAGGGACTTGGGAAGCGTGCTGGGGACTTCTCTTGAGGGAGGGAACATGTCGGGAGAGTGAGAGGACCTCCCAGCAGTATCCCCACTGGATCAGACTCCTGGGATCACAAGAAGAAACTCAACACAAAGGAGCCGAGTATTCAACAGGTGCTGTTCAAAAGTCAGTTCAAGCCACCTTCTTCAGGGTCCTGGGACAAACAGGCACTTCTTCCATGGGGGTTCCTCAAAGCCAGCCAGCCAGCCAGCCAACCGAGCAGAGGGGCCAGGCTCTCAAAGGCCCTCATCATTGTAAGTAGGAGTACGGGGCTTCAAGATGCTCTGTGGATTCTTTTCCACCAGAGGGCGCCATCTCACTTCCCCTGTTAGAAGCAGATCTTCGCCGTTCATGGAGTCCAGGTATTGCATCTACAAGTAGAGAGAGCAGGGGAACAGAGTGAGGGTAGCAAAGCTTCCCCAAGGAGAGGCTGGAAGGGGACATGGGTGGCGGCGGCAACCTGACTGTCCAGCTCTAAAATTACGGCATTATGGGTATTTGGAGAAAAAATTACCTGTGTCAGTAGTTCTCAACCTGTGGATTACAACACCTTGTGGGGAACAACCCTTTCATGGGGGTCACAAATCAAATATCCTGCATATCAGATACTCACACTACAATTCTTGACAGTAGCAGAATTACAGTTATGAAGTAACAGGAAATAATCTTATGGTTGGGGTCACCACAACACTAGGAACTGTACTAAAGGGTGGCAGGCAGCATTAGGAAGGTTGAGAACCAGTGACCTAGGGACTAGCACTGACAATGTTTTAGGGAATTCCCTATCACATGTCCCCACTCCACCCACCACTCCCTATGAGGGACATTTAACCTCTGCCACGCACTCATTACAAAGTTCTTGCAGGCCAAGAAATTAGAATAGATGATTCCCAGAAGTCATCCCGTCTACTCGCTGCCTTCACTGGTGACATTGCACAAGGCGGTCACTTTTGAAACCTTTGTCCCCTTGTCTGAGAGCAGCTGGAAATGCGTATCTTACGGGGCAAAGCGGAGAGCACACAGCACAGTGCATGTACAATTCTGGACACCGAATGCCTGTCTAACATCTTTGACTCCACCGTCCATCAGTGGGTCCCGATGCTTCCCAGAGGGCCCAGTTTGACCACCACACAGGGCAGGCTCCCTTACGAGGGGAAGGAGGAAGACCGGGGCTTCACCTTAGGCCTTGGGTCGTCGTCTCCTCTTCCAGGAGCTCACTGCTCCTGCTTCATCTTCAGACTGCCTCTTGAGCTCAGCCCCAGCCTCTGACTCGAGAGGCCCAGCTTCCCTGAACTGACCCGAAGTCCATGCCTCTTTCTACCTCCCACTCCTACTCCAAACGCCGCCATTCTGCCTACCTCCTGGGTTGTTGATTTTAACTGCAGATTGGTTACCAAATAGTAACCAATATATTGTGTAGTACCAGAGACTGCTCAAGGCCCGGCTTCCTGGGCTACCCTGACACACTAGGTCAGAATATGCCTTCCCTTGGCTTCCCCAGCACCCTCCTGGTCCTGGACCACACACAGTAGACTGGCTCACTCACCCCAGGGCTGCCTGTGTGCCTGTCTAGCTCAGGGCAGGACTGAGTCCTGAAGCTCAGCCCAGGGATGGCTCTGCAGGTACTCTAAGGCATGACAGACCTGGGTCGCCATCAAAGCTCCTTGCTTTCTCAGGACCCCACCATTGCCCACTTCTAGTGGGGTCAAATGGGACTCCTCACAGGGCAGTCGTTATGGCAAACTCTTCTTTCTGAGCCCCTGGAGAGAGGTCCTGGCTATGCCTTGTCATGGCCTCTGGCACAAGCCCACCAGGACAGATGGAAAAATTGGGTGGGTCTCTAAAGAAAGTGTTTACTTTGCCAATTTCAACTCCTGTCTAAGGGTGAGGCCCTCTAGCCACAGTGCCTTCTCCCTGGCTCTGGCAGATCCAAAGAACAGTCAAATGGCAGTTGGCTTCTGGGGTTCCCTACGCTCCGGCTACCAACAGCCTCAGCATGCCAGCTACATCAGGCAACTAGCTGATCCTACTAGCCCTGTCTGCTCTAGAGCTGCGATCTGGCCTGTCCTTTCCTGCCTGTTGGAGGCTAGCAAGGCCACGGAGGTGAACTCATGGCTCGATGCCCCTTCAGCCTCAGGGGCCAAGTCCATGAAGCAAAGGTGTGACTCATAACAGCTCACGCTGGTAAGCTGTCTGCAGCAGCTGTGACCTCCAGTGGGTAAATGATTCACCCAGCCTGGGTTCTGAGGCCAGTCATGCAGGGTGAACCGCTGGGAGACCCCAGAAAAGCCTCCATGTCCTGCCTCAGGATGAGTGAATCCATTCATGCAGATGGCATGAGTTTCCTGTCCACACAGGATCTAGGGCAGGAGATCAGGAGTTAATTCTGCCCGGTGCTCAAATAGTCCTCCCAAGGAGCTCCTCCTGAGCCAGAGGGGCAAGGATCTGACATGGGGACCCTGCTTGACAGCGAAGAACAGCCAGTGGGGAGAACGGATGTGTCTGTCAGGGGCTGCCAGAAGCACAGGAACCCATGGGCACAGCGGGAGTCACTATCTCAGGGCACACCTCCCAGGACCGAGGGGTAGTGATCAGCACAGCACCCAGCACCAGCAGGTAATGAAACAGCAAACGAATACCACGGCTTCTGAAAGCACAAGCTCTTCCTTGTCTCTCAGGCCCCACTCCTGGCATCCTCAGCCTAGTTTACAGCTGGACACAGAATGTGCTCATTCTTCCTTATTGTTTTGTTTTGGAGACAGGGTTTCTCTGTGTAGTCCTTGCTGTCCTGGAACTCTCTCTGTAGACCAGGCTGGCCTTGAACTCACAGAAACCTGTCTGCTTCCCAAGTGCTGGGATTAAAGGCATGCACCACTATGCCTGGCCAAAGATGCTCATTCTTAAGCTAGGCCTGGTGGTTCACAGATGAAGGCAGGAGGACCAGGAATCTAAGGCCAGTCTGTGCTACAATGAGATGGGGGGGGGGAGTGAGGGAGAGAGGGAGTGAGAGACAGAGAGAAAGAGAGAGGGAGAGAGAGGGAGGGAAGGAGGGAGGGAGGGATAGAGGGAGGGAGGAAGGAAGAAAGGAAGGAAGGAAGGAAGGAAGGAAGGAAGGAACGAACGAACGAACGAACGAACGAACGAACGAACGAACGAACGAACGGAGGGCTTGTTGTTGATGTGGTTGTGTCAGAACCCCTTAAACTAGCTCCTGGTCAGTCAGTCTCTTATGACCTGCGAAGATGCTCACACCAGCACCATGCACTCAGGGGGACTGAACTGCCACCAGATGTGAGTAGGGACTGGGTGCTAACCTGTTTCCTCACATACTCCACCAGCAATTCAAGCTGCCGAGGGTCTTCACATTTCTGGTTGAAGAAGGTTCTCCAGAGGGCAGCAGCCAGTCCACGGTCATCAGAAAGGATCCCCTAGAACACAACAAGACGTGTCTTGCAGAGCCACGACATTAACACTGGGAGATTTGAACAGATCAAAGAATGGATTTAGAAGGAGTGAGAGGGTAACGGGCGAGCTTGAGAACATCTGCACGATTTTTTTTGAAGGTGTGTGTGTGGAGACAGGGTTTCACTGTGTAGCCCTGGCTGGCCTGAAACTCTCTGTAGACCAGGCTGAACTCATAAAACTGCCTCTGCCAAGTGCTTTTTCTTTGTTTAAAAGTAAATTTTATTTTTACTTTATATATATGAGGGTTTGGCCTGCACGTATACCACGTTAGTGCCTGTTTCCTGTGGAGGCCAGAAGAGGGTGTCAGATCTCTTGGAACTGGAGTTACAAATAATTGTGAGCCATCGTGTGGGTGCTAGGAATTAAACCCGGGTCCTCTGGAAGAGCAGCCAGTGCTCTTAACCACCAAGCCATCTCTCCAGCTCCTCAACCCTTCTTTTGTACAGAAGGACATGGGACTCTGAGAGTCCTGGCACTCATGTCTGCTGGACCCTTCAGGTATGGTCCATTCTCCTCTCCATTGTGCCTGGCCTAGGCAATGAATGTCTTCAAGGCCCACCCAACAAGGGTAGTGTAGTAGCCATACTTCCTGCTGCTGTCCACAAGGTGTGGGCTTGCAGTGTTGCAAGTCTGTGTTTGCCTGGGCATGGGGATGGGTGTGGACTGCTCATACTTGCTTGGTCCAAAGTCACACGTCTGCAAGGTAGCTGGCTCTTTGGGAAAGGGAACTAGGTACCCTGCCTTCAATGTCACCCATCTGGCCATGACTGGCTTGGACTCTGAGGCAAGGAACAGGCTGTTTAGTAGGCTTTCCATGGGCCACACGGGGCCGCACAGGGCCATGCTCGAAGCCTATCTGTGTGCCTGATATAGCCTCTCCTGGCACTGGGAACTCTGTTTGGAAGCCTAGATATTATAGAGGCCAATTACAGCCATTTTCTAGCCCAGACCTCTAGGGCAGGGAGGATGAAGGCAATTGAAGGGAAAGGCCCTAAGAAGTGCTTCTGCCTTTGTGGCAAAGTAGGACATGGAACCAAAGTGTTGCCTTGGACTCACAAGACTGGACCGAGTCTGAATTCTGCCTGCCACAGTCAGGCACAATGGTTATGGTTACAGCTAAGTCTTAGGGCTCTAGAATGGGTTGGGTGGTGAATGCCTATCACCCCAGGACTTGAGTAGTAGGGGTAAAAGAAAATACTTGCTCTACCTACAGCATCCTTGAATTACAAAGATGAGGTAATGTGGCCTGAGGGTGTGGCTCAGCGGTGGAGCACTTGGTTAGTATCTTCAAAGCCCTGACTTCAATTCCTAGCACCACCACACAAAAGTAAAGGCTTTTAAAGAGAACTGCATGGATTGATTTTGCATGGATGTGGGTATGGGTATGGAGTCAGAGGACGACTTGCAAGGTTTGGTTCTCTCCTTTCACCATGAGGGTCCCTGGCATGCAGCCTGGCCCACAAGGCTTTGTGGTAACTGCCTTAACTGAATGAGCTCTTTCCAGCACAGCTTTTTTATTTTTGCAACAGAGTCTCATGTACCCAAGGCTTCCCTCAAACTCTCTATGTAGCCAAGGGAGCCCTTGAACTCCTGACCTTCAACCGATACTTCCCAAGCACTAGAACTACTGGCACGTGCCATTGTGCCGGTCTGCAAAGCCATTTTAAAAAGTGGAATATGTTGGATATAGTACACAAAAGCATGCGTTAGCTGGAAATAAATATAGTTGAGACAACAGTGGGATCTGGGAGTCAAATGACCTAAGTTTGGGGCCAGTTCTGTCACTTTATGGTAGTGTGGCCATTGAGAAGCCCTTAGCACCTCTGGAGCCTCAGTTTCTCATTCATTAGCAGAGCCTGATTAATTCCTATCCCACAGATACAATGTTCACAAAAGGCTCTCTACCTAGTAAGGATTACAAAGACACAGGGACATTTAGTCCATGTTATACAGTGGTCTGTGGCATATTAGAGGGCTGACTAAGGTCAGCTATCAAAAAGGTCCAGCCTACCCATGGGGGTTAACTGATAGGTGGACAAGCACTCCACCTGCTTAAGATGCCTTCTGCTTAGTAACCCCCATGGTTCCACAGCTGAAGACCGTGCTGGTGTGTGATGGCTGAGCTGGGGAAATCCGCTTCTTCTAGCAGATGGGAACGACAGCCACGGACAAGCTCAGGCAACCCTCCTTCTGCAAGCTATGTGCTAACACAACAGCCCGCCTGTGTGTGAAGTGCCCTGGGCACAGGCGGGACGCTGTTGGCAGGGGCCTACTTATGTGATATGGGCAGGAGTGGGTGGGAGGGACACAGAGAAAGAGCAGAGCCCAGAAAAAGAGAAGCAGGGGTCATGACTTGCTGTAGTCGGGCATCCCCGGAGCTGGGGGAGATGGCTGGGACAGGGCAAATCCACGCGCAGGGGTCCTGAGCAGTTAGAGGGCAAAGGGGGGACTCGGAAGGTGTTAGCCCTGCTAAGAACCTGTTCCAGATGACCAGGTCTCTTTGCCAGCTAGTGTCTAATGATTACCTGCACCACACAGCACACGTATTATTACCCCCCCCCCCATGAAAGATAAGTATTGAGGCTCAGAGGTTAGCGAGGTAATTGGTGTTGAGAAGAACCTGCCTGCACTGCTAAGGTCAGGGTATGATGCCTGCCTAGCCATCACACAGCCCTGGAAAACAGTACCGGTGTGCTGAAAATGGCAGACTACAACACCAAATCCAGCTGCAGCCTTCTTTGCATCAGACTACTAGAAACTCAGTGAACACAATGGGAGACCACCCAAGTGTGCCAATGTGAATCAAGAAGCAGGAGAGAAGAGAGGCACCAAGCATTAGGGTGCAGGGCCAATTCCTCACAATCTAGTAGGGTGCCCATCGTTTACCTCACGGCATGAAAGAAGGCACCCTTTAGGAAGTTAGGGTGTTTAGGTCTAGAGTAACAGAGAGGAAGCTGTGGTGCTGTCCTGGAGTGGCGACTACACTATGCGCTTCACACCACGCTAAGATGAACACAGAATCACGTGGACTGGACTCAGCTCTCGGCGGGCTTGCAGTCCAGGAGGGATGAGACACACAACAACAAAACAAAGTGAACAAATGCTAAGGTCCTTGGTGAGACCACAATCCACTGCTGCCTCTGCCTCCTCGTTCTTCAGCCTTTACTTCAGAAGGAGTCCTTGGATAGCTCCTCCCGGTCCACATTGTAGCTTCCTTCCACTGTTGCTCTCTATCGGTGCCCTCGAAGCGTTTTTCTGCTTATTTAAGTTACTTGGGTGCCACCTGTCTCAGTAACTTCAACGGGAAAGAGACTGAAACTATGTCTGTTTGATTCACCAATATATTCCTCATCTACCACATACGATAAGCATGCCAAAACCACTGTTAAATGGATCCTGAAATGCAGAGTAAAAACACAAGAGATCTAGAGAGGTTAGGAAAGAAGTGTGCAAAGAAGTGGCCTTTGATAGGGATCAGTCAGGCAGTGGTGGCGCACACCTTCAATTCCAGCACTTGAGAGGCAGGCGGATCTCTTAAGTTCTAGGCCAGTCTGGTCTACAGAGTGAGTTTCAGAACAGCCAAGGCTACACAGAGAAACCTTGTCTCAACAAAACACAACAAAGCAACAACAAAAGGATAGGAAGGATCAGCTGGCCTTTAATCCCTAGCACTCATGAGTTCAAGGCCAGCTTGGTCTACAGATTTCCAGGACTGCTACACAGACAAACCCTGTCTTGAAAAAACAAAAAGAACTTTTTTGTCATTTTTTTAAATTTAATTTGTTTCATGTGCATTGATGTTTTGTCTGTATAAGGGTGTCGTTTCCCCTGGAACTGTAGGTACAGACAATTGTGAATGTCATGTGGGTGCTGGGAATTGAACCTGGGTCCTCTGGAAGAGCAGTCAGTACGCTTAACTGCTGAGTCATCTTTCCTGCCCCTTGAGACCTTTTTCAGCTATCCACTCACAGCAGTTAAATCAGTACCTTTGGGTGATGGGCTCCTGCCACTGGAATTTCTAGAAAGTATCCAGGTAATTAGTATATTTCCAGGCTTTCCTGTTCCTGTCACCTGGGTGCTTGCTGAAGTACCAGGTGGCTCCTACTGTATCAAATCCTTCAAAGGAGTGTGTAGGGAACACATTTAACGTGTCTCCCGGGCGCAGACTATGAGATGCTCCAGTAGATGATCCTAAACCCATGGACATACAGAGAGCAACAAGTAAACTCAGGGTGAGGGGTGGGGGAGTTGTAGGAGAGGTAATGGGAGGTGGATTTAAGCAAAACACATGATATACATGTATGAAATTCTCAAACAATGAAAAAGGGGAATAACAAAGCATCCAATGGACTAGAAACAGCTCAGCTGGCAGAGGGCTTGCCTAGAATGCACAAGTCCCTGGGTTCAATCCCTTACATGAATAAATTGATGATAGAACATGCCAGCTGAGATTACAGGCATGTGCCAGCATGCCGTTTCATTCAGTTCAGAGAATCAAACCCAGGGCTTCGTAAATTCTGGGTAAGTGATCTACCAGCTGAGCTGCACCCCACTCTGTACACTTCTTCCCCTCCTCACTGCAGGTCAAGCACTGTGTCAGACAGCAGAAACAATTGGGCATTGTCACCTCCCAGAAGAAACTCATACCCAGCCAGGTGACAGACTTAATGCTGGTGCGTGCTGTGAGCACCAGGCAGGTGGAATGAGCTAAGCCTGGGGAAAGCTGGAGACCCTTTCCCAGGAGGTGGCGCTTAAGTAAAGTCAGGAGTTAACCACAAAATGAGTTTAAAAGCACAACATTTATCAAGAAAAAAATGAGGTATGATGAACGTGCCAGTATGTATACAGGTGTTCATTACACCATCTTTTTAACTTCTCTACATGCTTGAAATTTCCATAATAAAGTTGGACGGCTGGGAAATGACACAGATACAACATGGATGGACCTGGAGACACGCTATAAGCCAGTAACAGATGAGCAAACCCTGTAAGAGTCTACTTACATGAGTTCCTAGCCAATTCTTAGAGACAGAAAGTAAAAGAGTGGTTGCCAGGGGCTGGGAGGAAATGGAGCCCTGGCATTCAGTGGGCGGACTTTCAGTCTGAGGCTGTGACTGTTCAGCATGCATAGCTCTGTGTGTGAGACACTGCAGACAAGTGTGGAGGTTAACTCATTTGCATAGAGGCGAGGAACTGCTACCTATGCACAGGTGACTCCTGGGAGGAGACTTGATGAACTATAATGACTTCTCCTTTGGGGTTGGAGAAAAACTAGGTCTTTATTTGTATTTCAAGCAGGTACGTACAGTTTCGTGAACTTTAAAAATGAGTATATACAGCTAGGTGTAGTGGCACATGCCATTAATTACAGCACTCAGGAGGCAGAGGCAGGCGGATCTCTGAGTTTGAGGCCAGTCTGATCTACAGAGCAAGTTCCAGAACATCCAGGACTACACGGAAAATACAAAAATAAAAAAGAGCATGTCGGGAGCTGGAGAGATGGCTCAGCAGTTTAGAGCATTTGTTATTCTTGCAGAAGAACTAGATTCAATTCCCAGATTTCACATGATAGCTCACAACCATCCTAACTCCAGTTCCACAGATCCATTGCCCCCTTCTGACCTCCATAGGCACCAGGCACTCATGGGTCATACACACATGTTGGCAAAAAGTTCATACACATAAATGCATATGTGCTGCCCTAAAATGAAAAATAAAAGCAGTATACATTTTGTCCCATATACTATGTTGTTTACATATGAGTATCTTGCAGTCTCTGGGAAGAGCCAGGACTGTGGCAGTGTCTGATTCGACTTAGTGCCCCATCCAGCACTGAGCGGGCACTCAATGCTAATTCGTTGAGTGTTTAACCAAAATATATAATGCTCTCTTTCCCTTGCACTCGATGAAGGTAAAGAGATAAATACTAAATAAAAATGGCAAGTAGAGGGGCTGGAGAGATGGCTCAGTGGTTAAGAGCACTGACTGCTCTTCCAGAGGATCTGGGTTCAATCCCCAAAACCCACATGGCAACTCATAACTGTAACTCCAGTTCCAGGGGCTCCAAATCCCATGGCAAAACATCAATGCACATAACATTGCAAAAATAAATAAATTAATTTAAAAAATGGCAAGTAGAGAATATGGTCCTCAAAGCTTCTTCATATATTCTCCTCAAAGGCTGGAGAGATGACTCAACAGCTATGAGCGCCTGCTGCTCTTACAGAGGTCACAAGTGTGGTACTGAGCACACAAGTCAGTGACTTGACACTGCCTGTAACTTCAGATCCAGGACTCTCTGCTGGCACAGACACAGATACACACACATACACACAGACACCCACACCCACACACACACACACACACGCACGCACGCACGCACGAACGCTCACTCAGAGCCTTTGCTGGGATTGGGTGTGGCTGTGTACCCTTTGGTTCCCAGCACCTACGTTGGGTGGTTCATAACTTAAAAGCCTTTAACTCCAACCCAAGGGGATTGATGCCCTTTTCTGGCCTCCACAGGCACTGACATGCTCCTTCACACACATGGAGCAGACACTCACACAGACACATACACATAAATAAAAAAAAATCTTTTAAAAGGAAGGGAGAGGAGTTGGAAGGGAGGAAGGCTAGGGGAGGCCACTGCAGCTTAGGGCTTGGCAAATGATCTTACCTCATCATATCCTAAGATTGCCGCATAGAAACTGTTTGTCATAAAGGCCATGTTCTTCTTTAAGATATAGGAATTAACCTACAAAAACAAAAGTATGAAGGTAAGGAAAACCATGGTGCCTCTTAGCTGTTCATAGGCTGTTGAAACAAAGAGAAAAGAACTCAGTTTAAACTGCTAGTCCATTTCTGAGTCCCTTGGCTGTCAGGATTTTCTCAACACAACTGCCACTTCTTTTAGATTTTGATTAAAAACTACTTTCAGTTTAGTGACTGGACCTTCAACTGCATGTCAGTTTGTGTTAGTGCTGATCAACACGAGGTTTCAGAAACAGCGTCTAATTACAGGACCACACAGCCTACCACAGGAAAACAGGCATCCAACTATTACTCACGGGTGTGGTAGTCCACTCCTATAATCCCTAGCACACTGTGTGTGTATGTGTCTCAAAAGTTCAAGGTCATAATAAGCTCATACAGCCTGGGCTATATGAGACTACGTCTCACAAACAACAAAAGGAACAGTGAGACGGTTTGGCAGGCAAAAATGCTTGCTACCAAGGCTTACAACTGGAGTTCAATCCCCAGGACCCACTTGACGGAGGAGAGAAGTGACACTTGCCAGTTGTTCTCTGACCTACACACACACACACACACACACACACACACACAACTGAAGCTACCTAAAGGAGGAAGGTTTCATTTTGGCTCACAGTTCTGAGAAGACACAGTCCATGGAGAAACGGAAGATGTGGCGGTAGGCAGATGGCAGGGAAGTGAGACTGCCAGTTCACATATTGGTAAATCAGGGAGCAGAAAGTCTGGACCCGAGGTGAGGCCTCACTATATTCCTCAAAGCCTGTCCTCCAGGTAGCCGCCACCTCCAAAGGGTTCCACAACCTTTCTAACAAGTCTATCACCTAGAAACTAAGTGTCCAGACACATGAGTCTGGAGGGGGACAGTTTACATTCAAATCATAACATATAATATATCAAAGACCAAGTGACTTTCATCCTGGGATTCACAACCGGTCTCTGAAGGTCTGAAAAGGCAAAAGGATTTGTGTTTAGACTTCAGAAAGCTGGGATCCAAGCCCTAACTCTGGTATATATTTTGGATGTGGTCTTGAGCAAGCCAACCTCTCTGAGGTTATTTTGTCTTTTAAATGCCCTGCACACAAGAACTGTTTTCAAGTGCACAGAAGTTCATTTGCATTCATTCATTAAGTTAACAACATACCCTGGAAGTCTTGGTAAACGTCAGCGAACTCGGCAAACACAAGGAACTGTGAGTAAGACCTGGTTTGTTTATACAAAACTAAAACTAAAAGCAGTTCCAGAGCTTTACAGTCATGGACAATGTTCAGCAGTGAAGAGAGAATTGTCGAGTTCGAGGTGGAAAGTATGAGGCTGGTGGTAGCCGGGAGTGTTAGCCATGACCTTTCCTACCCACCTTCAAGTCAGGCCACATTAGCCACTGCTCCTCTGTGCTCTCCCCCTAGGTACACAATATGGTTGGAGCTGCTTATATACCTGTCTTTCCCACTAGTCTGTGAGCGACTCAAGCTTGGGCCACAGGAAACAGGACTGAATCATTTTGGCACCCAAACACCTGGGCCAGGACAGGGACTAAGAAGGGCATACTGATAATGAATCCTAGCAAGGTCACCACCCAGGGCTCGGGATATACTCAGGGCTGAGTACTTTCCTAGCATCTGTGAGGCCACGGGTTCAGCACCCCAAACAAACAAAAGCAAGGGCTACTCACAGCATGCTCTATCAAGTGACACAAATGATTTTGTCTTGTTTTTGCTGGAAGGATACATACTACTATATTTCTTTTTACTGCTTCTTCTAATGTGCTGTGGTGAGAGTCAGAATAGGCAAGAATTAAGAGTTCCTTCTGTCATTCGAGGACAATACACTGCGTTCTACCTTACTTATGTACTGGTTGTTCCCCTAAACGTGCAGATGACCAGAGCCAAAAAGCATCCAACACAAGGCAAGGCACCATTCCTAGGAAAACATTTACCAAACCTGCTCGGTCAGCAGTTAGCTTACACACTGCATCATGCCAACTGGCTTTGAAGTGGGAAGGGCCTTCAGGGATCACCTGGCCCAGGGACCCCAAGGAAATGAACGGTGAAATGAGGCTCAAATATGGAAAGAGACAGATCCAAAGTCACATATCAAGTTACCATCAGAGGGGATCAAATGATCCCATTTCACCACCTGAAGGGTATTTCCAAAGATCCCCCAAATAGTATTCTGCAAAGTTTGGTTCCTGCTTTCCAGAGAGGCCCAAGTAGGGGCAAACACACCTTCTCCTGGAGAAGATGGCTGGCTGCTGGTTGCCTGGGGAGAGCCGAGTACAGAACCGGAGCTCAGTGTTAGCCAGGTTCTACTCCAGTGTGCTCCTGCGAGCTCCTGTCACTTCTACAGAGAGAAGCAAGCTCGGAATGGCTTTCTCATATCACTGCCTCGGCTAGATTAGATCATGAAGAGGTCCCTTCCTGGAAGACAGTGCAAGCTTGATCACTGGAACACATGATCTGCAGGCAGCAGATCAAGGAAGTGACAGCAACTTCCTGAGCTACAAGCCTACCCCACTAGGTCCTTGATGCTGGAGCTCCCCTCTGCTGAACCCCCATTCTACTCCACTCCCTCTATTAAACATTTGTCTGCTGGGGTGCAGGGTCCCCATCTCCCCGGTGCTAGATCATCCTATAGGGAGCGTGTTGCTTATGAATAATCAGATCCCCTAGCAGAAGATGGTGTTGGGCTGTTTGCTCATTAAAATCTTATCCTGTCCATAATGCTTTGCTTTTTATGAAAACCCATACATACTGAGCCACCACATGGGAAAGGTTCCCTTTATATCAGTTACTCATATTTTCCCATTTATTTAAGCTATTAAAATTCATGCAGATATTTTATAAGCCATCAGGATTCGATGACTGCTATTACTGAATGTTTAATAATAAGCTAAACAGAAGAAATCAGAGGGTTAAATGATGACTGCAATTCCTGTAATGACTTAATTAAATTTTTATTGAGTACATAAACTATGATGTCACTTCTAACCAACCATGGCTCTGCTTTCGCAGCATGTCACAGGGCGGGAGCGCTCAATAGCAGGCTAGGCTAAATGAGCAGCAGGTCTCTGCTGAAATGGGGGAGGGAGCAAGGCTCATGTAACACACTCAATAAATTATCCGTTCATTTTTAAACAAAGTCCATGAGTTATAATATATTTGCCATGCACTTTTTATGACATAATAAAAATGTTACCTTAAGGATTACTTAACACATACTACAAATGTTATAGCAGAGGCAGGCACAAGGGGCAAAGAAAACAAACATGAACAGGCCAGGGACGGGTCCTGGAGTTTATGTCCCGGGGGAACAGCACAGTATATTAAAAGGGGAATGCAAAAAACAGGGGGTGCAAGTGTTCAGGGTACTAATCAGCAGATTAATGAATGAGACAGCCAACAGGGAGCACAGCAAGAAGGGATCTCACAAGGCACATGTTTAATTAATGGGAGTTTCTCAGGGAGGGACGTGAGCTCTAAAGAGATGCCAGTTCATCTGAGGCCAATTCACTGCCCTGTCCCCTTCTCACTGCTGCAGTTCTTAAAGATGCCTATGCTAACAGAGGACTGGACTGGTATAGAGACTGAAGGAGACCGTGGTTTAGCCTATGAGCACTGGTGAAGGGGCTTCAGGATTTTTCCTAGGTCGTTTCTCTGACCTCACTCCCTTTTGTCTCCCCATGTTCATGTTAGGCTCGGTCAGGGTCAACTCTGCCATTTCCATGACTGTGCCATGCTCTCTTTTTCTTAGCCACACTAATAGGAGTCCTTCTCGTCTTTAATTAATTGAAGGGATGCTGGTCCCTTCTCATCTTCAAAGATCTAGCCTCCAAAATAGTTCTCCCCAGTCTACAGGTACCATGAATGATTCAAAGCCGGAAACAAGTCACATAATTAGCATGTGACAATATTAGCTCAATTAATCCTTCCTAATGAGCTCTGAGAGGGTACTATTTTGCCTCCATTTTTACAATTCCAGTTTTGCTCATTGATATCTCTATATTTAAAATCTAACCAGTCTAATAATGTATGAAAAGCAAGATACATGCCTTGCAATCCCAGTACTTGGGAGGCAGACATATCAGAAGGTCAAGTTCAGCTTTAGCCTACAAAAGGCCAGCCTGAGCTATGTCTCAAAATCAAACAAGAAAATCTAAACAGATGGCTGTCCTTGGAAATCACCATCACTTATCCAGTGGACCAGGCTTCGAATACAATTGTTATACAGTTGGAAAGCAGCTGATGAGATACAGCAAGATCTTGAGAATATCAAACGTCAGCTTAATATTCTTACGGTCAGGGCATGCGCGCGCGCACACACACACACACACACACACACACACACACACACACACACACACACACACTATACCCTGGGCTGGAACCCAGGACTGAATGAAAAGGAGAGTGCAGTGTACCACCACACTCACCCCGTCCTTCTTGGTTGCAGATGCAGACTGCTCATCTGGCTCTGGGCACCACACCTCTCTCTCACCATATTCACTAAAGTACTTTTGTTGGGTATTATCACAGCAAAAATGAAAGCAACTAATACACTCCCAAACTCAGAAACATGACAAGATAACCATAACTAGACATAAAGAAAAACTACATACAAGCCAGGCATTGGTGGTGGCACACACCTTTAATCCCAGCACTCAGGAGGCAGAGGCAGGAGGATCTCTGTGAGTTTGAGGCCACCCTGGTCTACAGAGCGAGATCCAGGACAGCCTCCAAAACAATACAGAGAAACCCTGTCTCAAAAAACAAACAAATAAGCAAGCAAAAAGAAAAGAAAAACTACATATAAAGTTAAAAATGTATTAATAGAGGTCAGAGAGATGGCTCAGCTGCTAAGAGCACTGTCGGTTATTTTGGAAGATCTGGGTTTGATTCCCAGCTCGTAGCTGTTAACACCAATCCCAGGGGGTACAATGCTCTCTTTTGTACTCCATAGGCACCAAGAATACACAGATACACAGGTAGG